TTTGTTTAGAATAGCTTAACTCAAAAATGAAAGAGGCAATATAAATTTTTGTAAAAAAAACTGCAGCACTTGCAAGGATACACAAATTATTGAATCTATTTGACCACAAATAGTATTCTTTCTCAGTCATAGCCTGATCACTTTGCTGAACTCTTTATTTCAGAAATTTGATTGATAAAATAGACCATATTAGCGTCTCATGGAAAATCTCTGCCTCCGGACCCCTCCCCTAAATTTCCAAATTCACTCCACAACCCCCCTGTCTTCCCCAGTCTCGCCNCCAACCCCCTGGATTGACCACGGCAAATTTATTCTGGGCTCCTAAAAAAGTGGCTTGGGCTCCTTAAAAATTTCCTTAGACAACAGCCTTGATCTGTTAAATAATGCTTTGACTATTAAACATGTTTAAGGTGAATAAAAACCCTTGATAAATTCATTAGCAAAACGAGATGTGAAAAACAAATACCAGTAATAATAAGGAATTGATCACCATTTCAATGAAAACTTAGGGACAGTTCATTATTTATGGCAGGTTCCTACTCTTTTAAGCTTTCAAAATTCCGTGACCTTCCACAACCTTTTCCATAACCTTTCCGAGTTTTCCACGACCAAAAGTAACTTTTTTCTTTTCTCCTAATGCCTGTCGTAGTATCATATCAACATTTCAAAGCCCGTCTTGATTTGTTCTAAAACTTTTCAAAGCTAATGGAAGTACCATTTTTTACAACAACTGCTGCTAATCTCGCAATCTGATTGGCTAATTTGCCATTGTTGATAAGAGTCCATACCATACTGCTCACGTCAATCTGTCGCGCAATGCCTCTTTCAGCTCGCACTATGAAAAAAAAAAACGATTCTCTTTAACGTTAATATTGTGGTAAAAAACAATTGGAAATGTGGTTTAGCGTGGTCTGTACTGTTATCGAGAACGAGTACGTGTCATTACTCTTTTCCCAAACATTTTTCTTATTGTTTCTGCATGTTGAGCGAGTTTGCAAAAGTTTTTGAAAGGAAAGTCTGATGCGTACAAGTAGCTCATTTGCATAGTGCAGCGAGTGCACTTTCAAGTCTGAGTTGGTGTTTTCAATTGTCAACAAATCTTGACAAAGATTTCTTTTGATATCTTTGATATTGTGGTAAAAAACAAATCAAATGTGGTTTAGCGTAGTCTGTACTCTTATCGACAATGAGTAGGCATTATCACAGTGGTGAAAATTTGTTGCGGACTCACTCAGCTGCACCTCGTGAGTCCACAACATTTTGACCACCGTGATGACGCATACTTGTTGTTGATAAGAGTACAGACCATGCTAAATCACATTCAATTTGTTAAATAGAAGCTGATATAAAATTGACACAGTAACAGTGTGAAGTCATTTCATGTATTTCAGCTTGACTGTGTAAATCAACATTTTCCATTAAAAAAAAGGCTATAAGCAATCTTACATGGCAACAGTAAATCATCTTCAGAAAACTTATATTTTGGTCGGACATAGCTTTCACAAAGCACGGCAAAATGTCATGATGGAGATTCCTTCTATATAATACTGTTGATCACAATAATGATATAATCCATGAACCAATAGAAGGCAATTGATCTTTAAATTAAAATTAAATGGAGACAATAGTTACCGGGTAATTCATGGTTCGAGGCAAAAACTCAACAAAGGTAAATCGTTTATGACAACCCCTCTATTTCAGTGTTTCGGCCAGAGCGTGCCATTGCGGGAATCCCACGTTGCAATCAGATATGGCCCCCAGAAAAACGAAGAAAGGGCCAATTTCCTTTTACAAGACTACAGGCTTAACCAGGCGTAGTATTTCAAAAGCCATCCCAGTGCTTGAAATTGCGACCGATACAGTCACCAATATAACTAACATTTCATCCTTGGCGACCAAAATTCGGCAAAAATTCTGGTTTAGTCACCATAATGGCGACTACATTTCTCTGTGTTCATGATCAATCCGGTTATTTTGTCACACATTATGTCCTTCTAGACAATCATATTGAAAGATCTTTGCTTCTAAAACATTCAATATAAGAAAAGAAGTCAATCCATCCTTTTGCTCTGTTGTATTGATTATCTCACATCGGAAAACTTCCAAGTTTGAAATCGCCCTATAATGCATTGCAAACCCTTGATCATTGACTATGTCATGTGTGCCTAAGAACTGTTCTCTTGTAATGCACGGATCATACTAGTATCTGATTCAAAAGAAATTTATTGAGTAGAAACACTTCAAAAAGCACTCACTATTAAATTTTATCCTAGATCCTGATAAACTGCTTTATTTTCCTTGGTACCCTGACACATTTTTCCTTTTGTAGCTTCCAATTTATTGGCCCCTTTCCTAAAAAATTGGCCCCTAAAAAAGGTCTTCAGGGGCCACTTTGGCCCTCAAGAAAAATTTTCTGGCTGAAACACTATTTTCTCTGTCCCCACCCCCTAACCTGTCAAGTCTCCTGTTTTGCACTGGCAACCAGTTCTCTCATGATTTTTACTCCACGCATTCAACAATTGAATGAAAGTATGAGAAAATAGAGGGCTGTGAACAGTCTAAAGAAATAATTGAAACCTACATCAAGTAGCTGCAACTTACATTTACATGACCTTAACCATAGACCCACCTCATCAATATCTTTCCCGCTCAGCTCGTTAATAACAACATCAAGGCGTTCCGGGTCCACATCAATACCAACACTTGAGAGAATATCCGTGATGTCTGATGCACTTGGGCTTTTGTTCCCTCCCAGGGTGGCAAGTAGGTAAGCGGCCACGTAACGCATCTGAAAATAGTGCTTTATTAGTAACTTAACCCTAATTCAG